GAGTCCACAGATTCCGTCAGTATTTAGACAGAGCCAAAAGCAAAGTGGAAATTCTCTCCTCCTTTCAGAGAAAAGTACCTCCTTCTTTAATCTCCCCTTCTTTTTACTGGGATCTCACTCACAGAGATCTTTCACTTAGGTCCTTTTTTTTGCCACAGTGTCTTGGCTTTCCATGCCTGAAATGCTCTCATGGGCTTTTTAGCCAGATCCAAATGCCTTAACAGCTGATTCTGAGGCCAGATTGCTGTTTAGGGCATTTGCCATTCTATGAGTCTGCTATGTGGCCTACTTCCCATGTTGGATCATTCTCTCCATTTTAATTCTACCTATTGTTATTAGCAAAAACTCGGGAAGGCAGTGGAGGATGGTACAAGCCCTTGGGCCCCTGCACCTGCATGGGAGACCAGGAGGAAGCACCTGGCTCCTGGCTTCGGATCAGCTCAGCACCAGCCATAGCGGCCACTTGGGGGGTGAACCAACGGAAAAAAGAAGACCTTTCTCTCTCTCTCTCTCTCTCTCTCTCTCTCTGTCTCTGTCTAACTTTGTCTGTCAAATAAAAAAAAATTAAAAACCTTATACAACTTAACACTAAACACACTCCTGCTCCTCCACTAAGCCTATCTCAAACACAGTGGCTCCCACTACACTCAAACCACTATCCAAAGCTGTTATAAGGCCCTATTAAATCTAATCTACCCATTACTCTTCTCTCTTTTCTCATCTGCTAATCTCCCCTTGTACACTTCCCTTCACTGTCCTTCCTGCTGCTTCCAAAATGAACACACTCACAACCAAGGCTTTTGCACAGGCTCCTTCCTCTGCCCAAAAATGATCTTCTCTAAAGCATTTGTGTGACTTGTTCTGTCACTTCCTGCAAGTCTCTGATTTAATGTCATCTTACCAAAAAGTTCTTCTTTGACAACCCCTCACATTTCCACTAATCTGTAGTCACTTTCCTCATGGTATTTATCATCCCTTCACAAATATGTTCTGTTCTCTGTGTTTCTTTTCTCCTCCCTCAACCAAAAACAAGCAAACAAAACTACTTTATGAAAGACAGAATTTTTAAAGATTTATTTCATTTATTTGAAAGTTAGCGTTACAGAAAGAGGTAGAGACAGAGATAGAGGTCTTCCATCTGCCAGTTCACTCAAAAAATGGCCACAATGGCCAGAGTTGAGCTGACCCAAAGCCAGGAGGTTCTTCCAGGTCTCCCACATGGGTGCAGTGGGCCATCCTTCACTGCTTTCCCAGGCACATCAGCAGGGCGCTGGATTGGAAGTGGAGCAGCCTGGACTCAAAACCACACCTATACGGGATGCCAGCACTGCAGGCCAAGGATTTAACCTGTTATTACACGACAGTGCTGGCCCCAGAAGACATACTTTTGCATATTCATTTCTTTACTGTGTCCCCAGTGCTTAAATAAGCCTGGCCTCTAACAAAGGTTCAAGAAAGCCTGGCATAATCTTGAGTTGATTAAATAATGCTGTATTTCCAAAACTGATAACTGTTTCTCTGAAGAGGGACAATGGTGGGTTGAGAGATAGTGTGTGAAAATGACTTGCTGCCATTGGCACACCCTTGTATATCTTTTATATTTAAATACCCATGTGTATGTATTGCTTACCCTAAAAAAGAGTTTTTAATTAGGGCAAAAATAATGGTTTTAATGAAAGGAGCTTATCATGCCATTTTTGTATTAAACATTGAAATAATTTATCAACCAGTTTTTATAATTTGTACCATTTGCAAGTTTAAAGAGAATGCTTTCAACGGTTTTATGCAAGCTGGGTGCTTTGTAGAATACCTAGGCATACTTAAGAGCTTTATATACATTGGTGATTCAAAAACTGAAACGTTGGGGCCAGCGCTGTGGTGTAGCGGATAAGGCTCCCTCCTGCAGTGCTGGCATCCCATATAGGCGCTAGTTCGACTTCCTGCTGCTCCAATTCTTATCCAGCTCTCTGCTATGGCCTGGGAAAGCAGTAGAAGATGGCCCAAGGCTTTGGGGCCCTGCACCCGCGTGGGAGGCCCGGAAGAAGCTCCTAGCTCCTAGCTTCAGATTGGAGTAGCTCTGCCCATTGTGGCTAACTGGGGAGTGAACCAGTGGATCAAAAACCTCTCTCTCTCTCCCCGTCTCTGCATAGCTCTTTCAAATAAATAAATAAATCTTAAAAAATAAACTGAAAAGGTATAAGGATAGATCTTTAGGATGGGGAGGCTTGTGTTCAGGCTTGGCTCTAGTAAGCAACTTGTCACTGAGTGACCTTCTTCTGTTCCCTGGAACCTGGCCAGTTCCTGGGAGGAGAACAAGGCAGAGCATACCATGTCCTTGGGCAGAAGTCTGAGGAACATCTTGAAACGTGCCTGCCATCTCGGCCCTCTGGCCAGGGTCCAGGAAGGGACGCACTGATTGCCATGAATCTCAGCAATGAGCCACCTTTGTTCCTGGGGCTTTAAGAGGGAGCTGGAACAAGCTTCTGCTGCTGCTGTTTATCCCGGGAGATCACGCAGTCAAGCTGAACATTGAACATGCCCGTGATGATTACTGATGATGTTTGATTCTCAGTATGGATCCTCCTCCGGCGCTGTGTGAAGATTGCCTAGTGATCAATTCCTGGGTTGAGTCCCCTGCTCTTAGGGACTCCCCCCACTTCCGTTCTTTCTCTTTCTCTCCTGCTTCTTAAAATTTGCTACTTAAACTGCTTGTTTCTTTATACTACAAGGCTTGCAGCATATTTCTTGCGGATCAAACTGAAAGTAACCAAGTCTGTGCACAGCAGACAGCTGAAAAATAATCTGCCGTCACAAGAGGTGACAGTATACAAGAAAAGAGAGGGATGAGCTTTCCATGTCATATTGTAAGAGCATTACTGTTTACTGGTTCAGTGGGACTATCTGCCAATTAACGCATATACTCATTCTTTTCTAAGGGTTTGTAAATATTTGGAATAATAATGCATTCATAGATTCTACCAGCAATCAGCATAAAATACAGTGGCTCATAAATCTGAAGACTACCAGTTTCTATTTTGTGAAAATCACCAACCCCTTTCAACTTTGCTAGCATTAGTCTTTTTCTCAAAATATATCTGGGATGACTTTAAAGCTGCCAAGCACAATCATTCAACACCAGGAGATAAAACTGTCTCTGAGGATCTAAGCACATCATAACAGTAATATGGGATCTCACCTTCCATTTTCTTATCCTTGGCTTCCAGTCTTTCTGTACCTTTTAGATTACGAACTGAGAAACACTCCTCTTTTCTCATACCTTGTCCCTACAACAACCCCACCAGCAGTGGAGCCTCTCCAGCTCATGCTGTTCTCACTATTCTCTTTGCCCTCAAATGTGTAAACCAAACTCATTGTTCAAGGACAGGTGTTGTGGTGCAGCAGACTAAGTCACCACTTAGGGCATCCACAGCCCACAACAGAGTGACTGGGCTCAAATCCCGGTGACTCCACACTTCCAATTCAACTTCCTCCTAATGAACCTGGAAGCAGCACATGACAATCCAAGTACTTGGGCCCCTGCCACCCACAGGGGAGACACAGATAGAGTTCTAGCCCTGATAATTGCAACCATATGAGGAATGGACCAGGGAATAAAGGCTCGCTCTCTCTCTCTCCACTTCTCTCTCACTCTGCTTTTTGAATATAAAAAAATAAATCTTTTTAAAAAACATGTTGTGTTTCATTTTCTTAAAAGGAAATGAAGTGACTTCTATGGAAGGATTCCTGTATGAATATATATTTCTTTCTTGAGATATGTAAGGCAAATATCTCAAAGTTAGAGGGCAGTGGGGAGCCAGATTATGGATGCTTGTGAGGTTCTTATGCCATGTATGACTGGTATTCCTCTGAGAAAAAAAACAGGATTGTTGAAGATCAGGGATGACAACAGTAGATCTGACATTCTAAGAAAGTTCTTTCATCTACCATGTTCACATGAAAAGAAGGTGTATAACTCACTTTTGTATCAGAAGATCAGAGGCAACTAACTTTATAAGGAGAAAGGTTTATTCAGGTCACAGATTGGAGGTTCAAGTCCAAGACTGAGGGAGAAGTATGGCACATGCAGATGTATGTGGAGGAACAAGTGGGGAGGCTGAGCAAGTGGCAAGTGGGGAGGCTGAATGCAGCTAGGCCCAATTCAGTCGTAACCACCATCTCACAAGAACTGTTCTCCGAAGACACACCCCCTAATGCCCTAAGGATGTCTCTCCAAGTCCACCTTTTAAGGCACCATAATCAAATTAAGTTGCCACCCTCTGATTACAATTAATATATGGCTTTAAGTTTAAATATCTGCATGATGTTGTGGGGGGCAAGGCATATTCAAATTGTAGCAGAAGGCAATGACTAGAGCAATGAAATACACAGAAACCTGCTAAACTACTGCAAGGGAAGGATGATGGGGTTTGAAGCAGACTGGCAGGTGTTCAGGTGATGAAGTGGTCTGGGTATACCAGTAGAGCCAAAAGGATTTCCCAACGCATTGGCTATGGGAGGGGAAAGAAAAGGAAAAAGCAAAGGAAGGTAGAGCTGCCAATAACTGAAAAGGAGAAAGACGTTGGGTGGAACAGAATTGGAGACAAGTCCGGAAGGCAGAAATACCTACTAGATGTTCAAATGTGTACCTCAACTACACAGGTGGATACAAAAAGTTAAAGATCCTAAGAAAGGTCTGGAAGAGAAGCAACTCCTGGCATCACTGGTATAGAGAGTATTTTTTTCATTTATGCAAAATAAAAGCACTTTAAGAATATGCAGAGAGCAGAACACTTCAATGTGGAAGGGTTACTCGGTAACAGATGAGGATACGTGCTGTCTGCTATTTCTACCTTCCTGGAGGGTATATCATGGACCTGAGAAACAATGTTCCCACCTCTGGCCCAATCTTCCTTTTGGATCTTGCATTCTTGAAGATCTACTTCCAAACTGCTTTCCAAACTCCTTTTATCAGAATTCCCTGATCCAATACTAGTGCAAGATCTTGTGTGCAAATGAGCTTAACACTCAATAATACAAAGTAGATTTTGTCTGATATTGGATAAAGCTGAGTGGATCTGGAGGTATGGTACTAAGGGTTAAACTGCATTTGGGACACCAGCTTCCCATACGGGCCTTTCAATTTGAATCCTGGCTCTTCTGTTTCGGTTCCTGGCTAATGCATCTAGGAGGGCAGAAGAAGACAACCGCAATGCTTGGACATCTGCCACCCATGTGGTAAACCAGGATTGATTTCTTTGCTCCTAGCTTTGGCCTAGCCTGGCTGTTGTGGCCATCTGGAGAGTGAACCAGTGAATAACAGGCCACACTTTATTGTGTGTGTTTATCTATCTATCTACATACACACACTGTACATGTATATAAAATTCAAGAAATCATTCTTGAGGCTGATGTTGTGGCATAGCTGGTAAAGCCACCACCTCCAGTGCCAATATCCTTTATGGGCCTGGGAAAGTGGCAGTGGATGGCTCAAATACTTCGACGTCTGTTCTCATGTGGGAGACCTGGAAGAAGCTCCTAGTTTTGGAACAGCACAGCTCTGGCCATTGTGGCCATCTGGGGAACAAACCAGTGGATGGAAGACTCATGCTCTGCCTCTGCCTCTCCCCAACTCTGCCTTTCAAATAAATAAAAAAAAGCCATTCTTCAGGCATGTCCCCAGATAGACTCAGACAACAAATTACAAAAACAGTTACAAACATTCAGGCAAACATATGGACAGGCACATAAAGCTTTGTAAGCAAGAAATGAAACCCAGTGTGTTAGAAAGTTAATTCCACTTATAAGAAAAGAAATACAGATCAAGTAAAAGTTGACATACAAGCTTTGTATTATATATTTATTCTATAAAGACCTTCATCAGTGGACCGAGGTCTCTGTGCCACACATTTTTACAATTAAAGTATTCAGAGATTAAAAAAATGATAATTACAAATGCCATAAAATTAGATTTGACAAAAGTAGATCTGGGCCAAACAGACAAATTAAAACTGAAATTACATTTCAGCCTGAATGAAAAATAACAACTCTGCATAAGAATCTATCCAGTATGAACAAAACAGCAAAGCTTAAAAATTTACATGTTGGCATATATAAAACTAGTCCAGGTCAAATTAATGGGAAATCTAGAGGGCCAAAATATTAAAGTCATATGCATTGTATTTAAAAATCATTAATCCTAGATTTTTTAAAAGGGAAGTTTCATGAATTAGTACTAACCTTTATCATTTCAGTGTCTCATGAATATAGACTCAGGTATTTCTGAAATCAGCATTAAACACGGATGGTTTTGATTACTTCTAAGGAGCAAGAGAGAGCAGGAACAGAAATCAGCACAAGACCCAGAGAACAGGCAGAAGGTAACAGAGAACCCTATTCCTTTCAACCTGTCTACACTGAATTCCTACTTCCCTAGCCACCCCAAACCAGAAAGCCTCTCTCCACAATCAACAGGCAGATACTTCTATGATCCTGGAAACTATCTGCAATACTGCTCCTCAGCTGCTCTAGCACTGAGGCACAGGTTAACCACAGCCTGTGATGCCGGCATCCCACATGGGCACTGGTTTGAACCCATATGGGCACTGGTTCAAGTCCCAGCTGTTCCACCGCTGACCCAACCTCCAGCTAATGCACCCAGCAAGGAAGCAGATGGCTCAGTATTTGAGCCTTCCCCCCAATGTGGGAGACCTGGATTGAGTTCCAGGCTCATAGCTTTTGCGCTGACCAGCCCTGGCAAACATTTAGGGAGTAAACCAGTCAGTGGAAGACTCCCCGGCCCCCATCATTCTGTGACTATCTGTAACCAAGCCTTTAAAAAAATTTTAAAGAATGTTTTTCAGAAGTTAACCATTAAGTTCAAAAAATTTTATTCATCACCTAACATCCTATCCAAAATACCCCAGAGAAACATAATTTTACTAGTATTGCTTTGCTTTTTTGGCTATCAGCTACAAAACAAAACAAAACAACAACAACAACAAAAAACAAAACAAAACAACAACAACAAAAACACAAACGAACAGACTAAAGAACAGGCCAAAGCAAATTTTGGAACAGGCCACAACCTTTCAGAAGCTGCCAAGTGTCAGGTTGTTTCTGACATATTGTCATACAAACTTTGAAGTAAAGACTAAACAGAAAGTCCAGTGCTAACTGTAAGGAAAAGGGTGCGTGCAGAGCAGTGCCTCCGCACACTGGGCACAAAATGTAGGGAAAGAGGGTGCAGATCCACAGCAGTCAGAATACACTCACAGCCAGGTCAAACTTAGTCAAAGAAAATAAACTCTCAGCATTGGACCAACTGCCAGCGAGCACACAGACTGAACACATAGCAGATGGCCCAGACCCCAGTAAGCTGGGCCTTTTTATATATTAAATAGGCTAGGGGTGGGGAGCCATAGGCAGAGGGGAGCAGTCCATAAAAGTTTTATAAGTTTTGCCTCCTGGCTTTGAAACCTGGGGAAGAAAGAGAATAATAGAATGAGAGATGAAATTGGCCCCTTGAAAGAAGGCAAGAGTAACCAGAACGTAAAGTGGCTTAGGCTTGTATACTTGTTTCATCAATCTGGATTCTGAGTATAGATAAGGAAGTGGGGCGTTGGTCTCTTTCTGGCTACTTCTTGCTGACGTGGGTGTAGACATGGGACAGGGTATCTATACACTGGATCGGATTGATTGGAGAAGGAAAGCAAGCAGCCTTTTGTTGCTCCTGCATGATGGCTCCAGATCTAGAAGTCATGCCCTCCTCCAAGAGCTTTTGAATCATGTTAAATGTACATGGTAGGAATAGGAGCACTGTGATTATGAGGATAAACGGAGAAATTAAAAAAAAATTGCCCCGATGGAAAAGATGGCCAAAATGAGGACAATGGAGGATACAGGACAGCAAGAGGCCTGTCCAGTTAGTGGGAAGGCAACTGTATGCCTGAGTGCTCCCACTGTGTTTAGGGTGTCTAACAAGCAGATCAGTACACAGGGTGGAAAACAGAGGACAGAGTCATTATTAGAGGATCAAAGAGAGGTGGGAGTTTTCCTATTTAGAGGTAGGCAGAAACTGACAGAAGGGGCTTGATAATAATCAGGTGGGCTTTAAGGCCTGGCCCAGGCATGTTGTGAGGCCCAGACCTATCTACCTCTTCACAGGTAGCACTGGATGAGACATCATAAGGGAGGTATGAATCTCCTTGGGGAAAGACACCCCGTTGATGGCCATTACCTAGCTGACTAGGGAGGAGGGCTGGCCTGAATAATAGGAGGTTAGTATCGAGTAGGTGGCATCTATGCAGCACTGCCTTGATTGGTACTGACCCTAGGCTGTCCTCCTGAGGGCAGTAGTTACTTTGAAAGCTGGGCAGAGGGAAGGGCTTCATAGCCTGGGGCCAACAGGGTCTGTGGTTATGACCCAGGAGTCCTTCAACCCCTGGGGCAGTCCCATTTCCAGTGGCCTGGCTCCTGGCAGAGCTGACAGTGCTATTCATGACAGCTGCTTGCCCAATGCCCTGACTCCTCATTTCCTAAACAGGTGCCATCCAGGGGTGGGCTGGCCTTGTTGGGTCTCATTGAAGGCAGATCACCATGTAAAACAGCCACTAATTGGCCTACCACCTAACCTTACATTGCTCCTGCTGCCTCGCTCACTCGTATTTCTTCTGGTTTCTGTTAAAATGGAACACAGAAGCAGCCTTTAAAATGTCTGACAACAAATGTCCTTCCAAAGAATAAACGGGAAGTACCCAGCCTCAGAGCAGGGCTCCAAGAGGCCGCCTGCAAAAACCACTAGGCAAAGCTCAGTATTGTGGAGAATTTCTGTTTTTCGTTAAGATTTGTGTATTTATTTGAAAAGCAGAAACAGAGAGACAGAGGCAGAAAAAGAGAAGGAGAGAGAGGACTTCCCAGCTTCACAGTTTGTCCCTTACGGACGTCCCGATGTCTTCCTTGAGCCCAAGAAATGCTGAGTGGTCTCTCCTTTCCCACTCCTGAACTCAGCACAGGCCACCACCTAGGACCTCAAATAGCTCACAGATGCATTCAGAGTCACCATTTCACAGACTGGTTCCAAGGCTGTGCCACTTGCCTCACCTCAAAGCTTCTTTTGGCTCCAAGTCATCACAGACATGTCACACGCCTTCTCCCAAACCACAGACAAAAATGCCTTATTGCACTGTGCTACACCGGATCTCTGTCTCTATTCCCTTCCCAACTAGAAACGGGAAGTCCCCTGCCCCACAGCCCGACTCCAAGAGGCCCCATGGAAAAACCAATGCACAGAGCTCCGGTCAGGGCTCAGCTTGTCCAGAATCCCAGTACCCTAATACACAGCCCACGGCAGAACGACAGAACTTCCCCCGTGGGCATCAAAGCGATACACGGCACGTTCATTTCCACAGAACCAAGCTGTGTCTTGGCCATCTACAAGACACTAGGCACATGCGGAAGAATCCTCTGTGAACACCCCAAGGAGCCATGTGCAAAGGGAAGGGAGAACAAAGAGAGGATAGGAAAGGACTCAGGGAAAGAACAGGTCTTCAAAGAGGGAGGTGCCTTTCTCTGAAGGGAGGAGAGAACCTCCACTTTGACTATGACCGTGTCTAAACAAGATAAGAGTCGGAGAACTCAAGGGGCTTCCATAGCCTTGGAAACTCATAACTGGTGCATAGGGAGATTACTGATGCCATAAACAGGAGTGTCAATTGGTAAAGTCAACAACAGGAGTCACTGTGCACTTACTCCTCATGTAGGATCTCTGTCCTTAACGTGCTGTACACTGAGGCTTAATGCTATAACGAGTACTCAAACAGTATATTTCACTTTGTGTTTCTATGGGGGTGCAAACGACTGAAATCTTTACTTAATGTACACTAAACTGATCTTCTGTAAAAAAAAAAAAAAAAAAAAAAGAAAGAAATTATCAATTCCCAACTTGACTCTCACTGGGATTAAACATGACAATAGGTCTGATCTGATTTCATCATCATTTAAAAAAAATCATCTATTATTTTTCACTTTATGTTTCTGTGTGGGAGCAAACTGTTGAAATACTTACTTAAGGTATACTAAGCTGATCTTCTGTATATTAAGATAATCGAAAATGAATCTTGATGTGAATGGAAGGGGAGAGGGAGTGGGAAAGGGGAGGGTTGTGGGTGGGAGGGACGGTATGGGGGGGAAGCCATTGTAACACATGAGTCGTACTTTGGAAATTTATATTCATTAAATAAAAGATAAAAAAAAAAAAAAAAAAGGAAAGGACTCGGGAAAGGGGGCAGTCAGTCCTTCCTCCTGCACCTGCAAGGAGCTCCCTGCTCCCCTCCAGGCTTTGAGGAAACATTCCACAATCACAAAGTCGGACTCTCCATTGGATCCTGTCAAGCCTCGTATCCCAACATGTCTGTGCGTGCCTGCCTGGTTCTTCCAGTAGACGGTAGCTCCTACAGGGTCAGAAGACTTTGCCCTGTTTCCTTTGGTTTTCTGTCGCTGCCCTCAGCCCTACTGAGCAGCTCCAGGAGCATGAGCTGCACGAAGGACAGGAGGGCTGTCCTCTCCCGAGGTGCCCCAACGTGAAACTGAAGTCAATTCCGTTAGGACAGATGGAAAACCACCCCAACAAATAGCAAGTCCACCTTCTAAGGCCACACAGCAGACCCGCATTGTCCTTGGGTTTCTCATGCGCCTCTTTCTCGTCTTGGGGCTGGGCCACTTCTCCAGGGAGCACCAAGAAAGGACGTGTGCCCCAGTGCATACTGCAAAGCGTCTCGTGTCCTCAAACCTGGCGGGCGAGGTCAGCAGGGCAACAAGCGCCACCCAGCCACGCTTGCCTCTGGCCTCAAGACGCACCAACACTGGGGGCGCATCCCAGGGAGGCACACGCACTGGAATTTGTTTCCCACATCTGAAGCCCCCTCATTTCAGCCGGGTGCCCGTTTCAAAGCCCACATCACTGTTGGCCTTTGGACAGGAGACAAAAAAGGTGCATCTAGTTATGAACACAAGGGCTGTGGGAGGGAGGTGAGGGGCAAGTCCTAGCCTGCAGCATGAGAAGTGTCCAAGCAGGGCCAGGCAACAGCTCCCAGATCCCTTGAAGAGGCGGGGTCTGGGGACCACAGTCCCTATCCCAACGACAGACATGGGATCTTATGTCACCTGAACATACATCTGACGATGATCATACGTGTTCTCCAGTCTCCCTGCACCAGCTCCCTCCCCAACACACATGCAAGGAGGCGACAACACTGAAAAACTCCAGAATGAAGGGCCCAGTGTTGTTGGGGCCACTCACGGAGCATCTGGCACTGCTGCCGAAACTCCTGTCAGGCGCACGGCCCAGCCCTCTGAGAAGTGGGAGAGAGTCCAGCGCCACCCGCTAGTCCTACCTTGACCTCACGCTAGGGGGACTCTCCATTCTCACTGGAAAGGTGGGGGTGACTCTGCGGCCCTTCTGCTTCTCTCATCCTCTGGCCCAGTGGCCCTTTGAGCCCTGCGGCAGGACTAGCGGAGACAACCTCCAGGCACACCCTGAAACCGAGGCGGGTGGAGGCCGTGTGTTTCCTGATTCCCCGGAAGCCCACCCAAACCCACTCAGCTTCCAATCCCAGAGACTTGTTCTGTCTGAGAGGGAACCAGCTAAGAGGCTCAGCCAGTGTCCCGACGGACCACAAACACAACTCCCGCGCCACCTGTCGCTGTCCTGCCAAAAGCCATGGAAATGTCAGCCCATCCACGTACTTGGCCAGCAGGGTGCCTGGCAAATCGAGCTCGCCCCTCTGCCTGGCTCCCACAGGATGTCAGGAAGCACTCTCTGGACCCTGGCAGGAAAACCCGCCATGCCCCAGAGTGGAGGATCAGAGAGCATGCAGCTGCCCCCTACCCTCGCGCGAGGACCAAGACTCTGCTGGGCCCCACACCTTACCTCTGGTACCCACACTCCAGCTCCAGGCACTGGGCTTGCCCAAACCCCTCTGGACATCTGGACGGCCTGGGTGCGGGCCCCCAGTGCCCACCCACCCAACAGTCCCAGCGCGCGTTCAGCTTGCCAGCACGCCCGGGGCTCCCCGCTCCACGCCAAGCTGGCTGGGCCAAGGCCTGGGACTCGGCTGCATTTTGGGGGCCGACACGCAGCTTCTTGACCTCCCCTCGCAAAAACTCACCATTTCACTGGGTCGAGAGGAAGGTGGTCCCACGACGGGGACAGGCGGGGGCACAACGGGCTGAGGAGATTCCTCCAGAGGTCACTCAGCCCGGTGCTCCGACTCGCCTTCCCTAGCTGCTCCTGGACCCGCAGAACTGGCCGCCTCCACTGGATCACGCCCCCGCCTTCTGCCCACGCACGCACACAGACACGTCCTGACATCACAGAGGGCGGGACCAAGGAGACCCGCCCCAGGACTCGGTGCTCATCTCGATGCCCCGCCCCTTTTCTTTCACCTAGCCCCATCATCTGTTGACACCTGGTTGGGCTCTTGGTGGCTCAGTTACCACCACCACTACTGCTATGCTTTCACCAATTACACTTTTTTCAGTTATAAATGCACATTTCAATCTTTTTCTTAAATTTGCCTTTGGTTTTTGGATGATCTGACGTCAGTGGGTCCTTCCAGCTGACCTCCTTGTTTCCCTCGGGTTTTGCTGTTTTACAGTTTTACTGCCTCAGCACTGCAGAGACACAGTGGGTGCGGGGTCAGAGCGCTCAGGGCACAGGAACTCTGACTCCGGTGCTGCCCCTGCCACAGGACTCTGGGCTGAGTGGCCATCGGATTAGAGCGTGGACTTGCTGGGGCTCTCTCCCTGGGAGGAGGGTCAGTTCCGCTGAGAAGGGAGGGAGAGATTGCAGGAGGCTCCTGGAGGAGGAAGCACCGGACTTTTATTCTGGACAATCGCTGGCGGTAGGGTGGACTGGGTTCATTTTCAGGCGGTAAACGTGTTGTGTGGGTAGTTAGTGTGCTGGGGATCCTGAGGTCTGGCATTTCTAGCTCCAGGTTCCGTGCTGCGGCTTTGCTCCTTTGTCAGTGGTGGCTGTGTGGTCGCTGAGCGCACAGGCTCGCTCTGCATCTCCAGTGCACGGTGCCCTGTTCTCCCCAGGCGCGCGTTGGCACGTGCCTGGAGAAGGGCGCAGGTTCCTCTGCTCCCGCGCACAGGCGTCTCAGCAGTGGCTTTGGCAGCAGCGGCGGGAGGAACGCACCGCAGCACCGTGGCTGCTGATCTGGTCGGCCAGCTGGCCATGGAGCCACTACTCACATGGGGTTCTGAAGAAGAGGCTGTGGTGGATCTTGGCAAACCCAGCTCCACTGTGAACAAACAGCACGTTTGAAAAAGAACCAGAAAGCCATAGAGCTGTGTATATTGGTGTGCACGTCCGGTTCAGGAAAAGGTCGGCGGCATCACAGACATCGTGCGCACAGACATCATCACCAGAGAAGAAAAGATGAAGATTTGGATAAAGAAGATGTAGAGAATCTCCCTCTTATGATACCCCTTCCCAGAGAGTTCAGTTTATTCTTGGTACTGAGGATGAGGACAAAGAACATATTCCCCACGATCTGTTCACGGATATGGACGAACTGTTTTACAGAGATGGAGAAGAATATGAGTGGAAAGAAACTGCCAGATGGCTGAAATTTGAAGAGGATGTTGAAGACAGAGGAGACCGGTGGAGTAAACCTTATGTGGCAACTCTGTCTTGGCACAGTCTTTTTGAACTAAGGAGTTGCATCCTAAATGGAACAGTCATGCTGGATATGAGAGCAAGCACTCTAGATGAAATAGCAGATATGGAACTGGAACACATGGTAGCCTCTGGCCAGCTAGACGAGTTCATCAATGGCAGTTCATATCATCCTTAACTGAGACATGCTTAGTGCATATATTTATAAACTTTTCTTGATTTTCTAACATTTTCCCTATATAGTCACACAAGTGAAATAATTAGTGCTAGCACTTTATGGGAAGAACAGGGAGTTTTTATGCCAATGCTGTGGGGAAAATGGTAACATCTCAAGGCTTCTGTCTGTCTGTATGTGTGTGTATCCTATCCAGATGTCCATCATATTTCACAAATGATGGCAATTTCTTGGCCATACGGGTGAATGTAGAACAATGCAAACTTATAGATAAGAGCCATAGTTTTTAACCTTTATGTTTTGGGAAATGATTTAAATCTTAAAACTTGCATATCTAGGTTTCCATTCTGACACACAAGTAAAATTGCATTTGATTTTATAATTTAGCATTCATACCAGCCATAATTTTGAAAGCTATAAATGCCAATTTGCAGTAGTTCAGTTTTGTTACTTTTGGAGAAACTTTTTTGAATCTTTAGGCTGTTTTTAGAGCCCCTATTTCCATTAAGTTTTCAGAGAATAAATGAGATACTTAAAAGTCAATACAAAAAAATCAAACAAATGAAAAGCTAGTTCTCTGAAAAGTTGAACAAAATTGATAAACCCTTAGCTAAAAAAATGTGGGAGATTGAAATATATAGAATCAGAAATGAAAATGGAGGCGTCACAGTAGATACCACAGAAATACAAAGTATTGCTCGAAATTACTCTGGGCCACTAGCTGGCAGACAGGGAGAGGAAGTCAGCGAGCTCCGGAGCCCTGCCCAGCCGGGCCCAACCTTTGCTCTAGAGATCATGGCTGTGATGTAGCAGCTCCCGCACCGACCTGAGCGAGCTGGGGGCGGCGGGCTGCTGCCCGGGGTTTTCTCCTGCCGCTCAACGGCAGCTGCTTGGCCTCTGCACCTTCCTGCTCCACAGGATCCAGCAGCGCCAGCGAGAACGATGAACCACTCTCGCTGCCCGCCTCACGCGGCGCTGCTTCAGCCCTGCCGAGCTGCGGCGTCTAGACTGTGCCCTGGACCCGCGCATACTCACTCCCGTCCGCGGCGAGGTGTTCGAGTGACCAAGGGCTGCAGGTTCGGTGGACCCGAGGAACCAGACGCCTCCGGGAGACCTGCCGCATTTTGCCAGGATAAAGAAGCCCGAAAGGATGAGTATGCTGACCTCTCTGACCTCACTCCTGCCCCGCGGGAGACCTGAACGCCTGGGACTCAGTTCACTTTCAAGTATCAAACTGCTGAAGGAGGGGGAGGAGCCCACTGTGCGCTCAGATGTGGGTGAGCCAAAAGATGAGACTGCGCGGAAAATGATTAAGACATTCAGTGGCAGCCTATCTATTTTTGTATTTTGCAGAATCATTTGTAACATTACAGTCTGTCTTTAAAAAAACAACATGGCGATCTGATATTTAGAAAAGTTTTGAACTTACTGTTTATTTTTTCCATTAACATTGCTAGTGACACTGATGGAATTAACTTCGGTCTTAGAACGCATGGGCTGTGTATGTGTCACAAATCCAGAAAGTGAACCGCAGTGCTGCCGTGCAAATGTTACTGGTGTTTTTCTTCTAGCTGTAGTTACTACAGGCTGAATTTCAAGACTTTTTCATGAGAAACAGGTAAGGCTGCGGTTCTTCCCTAAATTGGTAAAAATGTTTAAGGTGCACTAAGAACAAAAGATCAGTGTTTAGTCATGACAGAAAATCTCTTTTCTCAGTTGACTTAACTACATTTCTGTTTTATCTGTGTCTAACGCAAATCTACAGTGTTCCAAAGGCTTTGGGACTGATTAAAAAGAGCTGTCCAGTAACAAAAGGAAATCTCACAACTGGGCTCCGTTGGAAAAAATAAAAAACATATACTGTGCTTTGGTACTGCATTGTCGTCTGCTCTTACGTGGACCCAGACATTCTGCAGTTAGGATTACAACAGGATCTGGACATTTAAATAAATTATAGGACTATATTCCCAATCCTTTTGCGTTCATGGTAGAGCAGTGATTACTATTATTTTTTTTTTAACACAATTTGACCTGAGAGAAGGGTGTACAGAATGGGAGCAGAGGTTTGCCCTAAAAGCCTTCATGTACACCTCTGAAAAATGAGGAAACAGTAATATGTCACTCGCCAAGTGCCCTGTAAAGTGTATTCATAAGGTGACAGTCATTACATTGTTGCAAAAGTATAGTCACTATGAAAGAGTGGTCAGGTGTGTCGAGGCCTGTGGTACTCCTCCTTTGGTTGACACTAAGCTTAAGGAGACTCTACAGTTGTATGCATTTGTAAAAGTATAATATGAACAATTAGTGAGGTTCCAGACTTGTGTAACTGTAGTTAAATAGTCATTGTATTTTCTTTTGAACTGTGTTTAATAGTTTTACCTCAAAACAAAACAAAATACAGTGCTTTTGTCAGTTAATGATTTTTTTTTTTTTTTTGGACAGGCAGAGTTAGACAGTGAGAGAGACAGACAAAGAGAAAGGTCTTCCTTCCATTGGTTCACCCCCCAAATGGCTGCTATGGCCAGTGCGCTGTGCAGATCCGAAGCCAGGAGCCAGGTGTTCCTCCTGGTCTCCCAAGTGGGCGCAGGGCCCAAGCACTTGGGCCATCCTCCACTGCCTTTCCGGGCCACAGCAGGGAGCTGGCCTGGAAGAGGAGCAACCGGGACAGAACTGGCGCCCCAACCAGGACTAGAACCTGGGGTACCAGCACCGCAGGCGGAGGATTAGCCTAGTGAGCCACTGCGCTGGCCCAGTTGGTGATATTTTTTAAGCTCTTTTTTTATTTTTATTAGACAGGTAGAGTTATAGACAGTGAGAGAGAGAAAGGTCTTCCTTCCATTGGTTCACTCCCCAAATGGCCCCTACAGCCGGCGCACTGCGCCGATCCGAAGCCAGGAGCCAGGTGCTTCCTCCTGATCTCCCATGCAGGTGCAGGAGCCCAAACACTTGGGCCATCCTCCACTGCCTTCCCAGGCCACAGCAGAAAGCTGGAATGGAAGAGGAGCAACCAGGACTAGCCCTTTCTCTCTGTCTCTCTCCTCTCACTGTCTAACTCTGTCAAATAAATAAAATTTTTAAATAAAGAAAAAAAAAAAACCACGCCTTGCCCTTCCTTATCGCACTGTTCTGTAGCATGAATTACATGGGGGATTCTCCTTGGCTCTTTTGAATGAGCCAAAGAGAAGGTGTTAGTAGGCGAGTCAATGGTGTAGATGCTTGGAACTGAACTAGACGCTTGCAACGGACTGTGGCCTGCCCAGTGCTGCCAGAAGAGTCTAAAAGCTGGAATTCTTTTTATTTCTAAACAACCGCTTTCATGCTTATCCTTCGATGTCACCTTCGGCACTTGCCCTGCACTTGGAATAAAATGAGTCTACCTGATGCTAACTCCCGCACTCACATTTTGGTCACTTCCCAAGACTAGGCATCTGGGAAGAACCTTGCTAAGGTCCTATGCTGAAGGCCGCTCAGCCTTTCCTGCCTGCATCTCCCTTGTCCTGCTTCTGTCCAGAAGGGATCCAGAGCGAAGAACAAACTTTCTGGGGTCCCGAGGTACTAGGCACCCACCAAGAGCCTGCCCGCTGCGCCTGTCCCAGCCAAGGGACTGGATGTATGCTTGCCCTGTGTGTGACCCAGTTGCAAAGGAAACCACTGCGCTCTGTAATGAGAAGGAAGGAGCCTCCCTCTTCTCCCTCAGCCCCCTCCCCACTTCCCGTCCAGAGCGCTACTTCCTCCCAATCCGCCTCCCTCGGCCCGGGGACCGGAGCAGGAGGCAGCCAAGGCGGAACTGGAGGAGCCAGCGGCCCGGCACATGTTGCGCCGGGGTCCCCAGGGCGCCCCGGCCGGCGGAGGCGGCGCGGACCGCGGCGCAGGTAGGGGCTCCGCCACAGCAGCCAGAATGGGTCCCGGGAGGTCTGGGCCGGGCCGGAAGTGCGCCTTTCCCCCTCAGTAGGTCTGGGCGAGCCTCTCTTCACAGCTCCAGTTCGGTGCGCCCCTTCAGAGGTGCGGGAAACCGCAACAGGGCGCGTAAGGTGCAGGTTTGGGAGGAGAGGGTCTGGGGCTGTCAGCTCTGTGCCCAGCCCTCCAAGTCCCTCCTGGCCCGCAGGACTCTGCAGAGCAGTCCGCGGCGGACCCATGCTCGCGTCTGACGGGTCCTGGGCGGCGGCGGAAGGCCCCAGGGGCGTGCTTGGAGTTGGGATGGGTCCTGTCCATCCGTACCCCCGCAGGACAGAGCGGCCCTGCACGCCCTCGCCCGGGACCCGCGGGACCTGGAAGGTGGAAGTTGAGAGTGGGGTAAGGAGCTGGTGAGGGCGCGTCCTCCACAGGCCACGGTGCAGTTTCATTGCAGGCTTGGAACTTGGCGACGGCAAAGCCCTCGCCGGAGCTTCGGCGGGACACCACTGCCCAGACCCTGATTACACCGTCAGCTCGCAGTGGTGACACTGAAGTCATGGCGTAGATGTTTGCTTTCCAAGCATGACAGGACTTGTATCTCTCGCTCTTAAAATACATGCAGAAGTATTGGAAACTTTCTGGAGACCGTGAGATTTGGAGTCAGGGTGTGCATTATGTCCTGGGTGCATCCCTTCCCTCAGAAGTCACAGTGGCCACTAATGACGGGGTCTCCCTGCCTCCTTGGGTCTATGGATGTGAAAGCACTTTGCTAAAAGTGTCTCACTGGTTACACAAACGTGAGCTGGGAAACACCAGGGCCATGAAAGCTGGGAGTTGGAGACAGTGTCTTTGCTTCTCAATCCTGGACTTAGCTGTGCCTCAGTTTCCCCACTTTTAAAATGGGGACCATGACAGTACCCCTTTCCCCAGAGGGTTGCTGCGCCGTTTCGGTGTGGTGGTGGATGTGAAGCCCCTAGCTCTACTCCAGAGACAGACTGCAGGATGAAAAGACTGTCGTTGCTAATTTTCCTAAGTAAAACTGAATACTGTGGCGTTTAAAGGAATACTGGTTTGATTTAAGTACGAAGAGTAGGGTGCTGTAAAAGACCCTGGGTTTTCTTGTGCTCAGGCATGACGCATGGAGTCCCTTGAGGTTCAGTTCAGACTCTGCCACAGAACAAGAACCCAGCCCTGGACAGTAGACCTACTTTGTGGGCTTTGTGACCTTGGACCTCAGTTTTTCTTAACTACTTACAAAAAAAAAAAAAAAAAAAACAAAAAAAAACCAGAAAAGGGGAATAGTAATTCCTGCCATTTAGACCAATAGTGCTACCTGAGGTTCAAATAAAGTAAAACATGTAAGACATCGTGTGGAACAGGAGTCACTGTGCACATACAGGACATCATATTACTAGCAGGAATCCTAACATCTGCAACTTTTTACAACTTCCAGATGTGCTGGGAGCTCTACTGTGCATTCTTTTGATGAACTCTTCCCCAAGCCTTTATGGGGCTGGTAATCAGTCCTTGTTTTCCTATGGCAAAGCTGAGGTTCAGGGTCACCTGCTTTTTTCCCAAGCTCACATAGCTGTTCAGTGCAGAGCCAGCAGTGCACCCCTGTGTGGACACCTCTCCCCATTGTCTTTTCAACCTCTGACTGAAAAGATGTTAGTGAATGGAGCCACGGTTCAGAGCAGACCTGTATTAGATCATAGCTAATGATGCACCCTGCATATCATAAAATGGATGGGTAAATTATTAGCCCTGCATAGGTGACTGAAGAAATCGGAGATTTCTTTCATCCCTATTTCTGTAAAATCCGATGCAGGTTATTCTCTTGAAACAATGAAAAACAAAGGCATGGAAAGCTTGAAAGAACGAATGATGATCTTGCAGATCTCAGAAGAAGTGGAATCTGGATTAATACTTTAACACCTAAATGTGTCAGGACCCTAGGATGGCACACGAGGTGACGCTGGGATGAAGGCTGTTGGTGTCAAGGTCACCTCACAGGGCTGCATCCCAGGATGTTTTTGTGGAGACCTCATGTTCAGCCATGATGCTGGCAGAGGGAAATTGAACTTTTTTTTTTTTTTTGACAGGCAGAGTGGACAGTGAGAGAGAGAGACAGAGAGAAAGGCCTTCCTTTGCCGTTGGTTCACCCTCCAATGGCCGCTGCAGCCGGCGCGCTACGGTCAGCGCATTGCGCTGATCCGAAGCCAGGAGCCAGGTGCTTTTTCCTGGTCTCCCATGGGGTGCAGGGCCCAAGCACTTGGGCCATCCTCCACTGCACTCCCTGTCCACAGCAGAGAGCTGGCCTGGAAGAGGGGCAACCGGGACAGAATCCGGCGCCCCAACTGGGACTAGAACCCGGTGTGCTGGCACCGCTAGGTGGAGGATTAGCCTAGTGAGCCGCGGCGCCGGCGGGAAATTGAACTTTAAACAGAAGAGACTGAAGATCAGATCTTTGTGCTGCATTAACAACTCTTAGTTCACTTGTTTCCTAAATTAAGTTTATTACTTTTTTTTGTTTTTCTAAAAGCAACATGTATTCATTACAAGAAGTAGAGAAAACTCCAAACAAGTAAAAACGAACAAACAAACAAACAGTAAAACCACTGAAATCTCACTAGTGTAGACCAATAACTTCGTGTCTCTGTTCTTTTATTTATTTATATTTGTTTATTTTTGTTTTATTTGAAAGGAAAAGAGAGTGACAGACATTCCATTGCTGGTATGCTTCCTCATTGCCCACACAATAGGGACTGAACCAAGCGACAGTCAGGAGCCCAGAACTTAATGCGTGACTCTCGCAGAGGTGGTTTGGGACAGGAGTGCTGGAGCCATATCTGCTGCCTCGCAGGGCTCACAGCAGCAGGAAGCTGATATCAGAAGCAGAGTCTGGACTCAAACAGAGGCACTGTGATATGAGATGCAGACATCCCAAGCTGGTTTAACCTCTTGTGCCAGATGCCCATACAGATGTCTCTTTTCTTGTAATCTGTTTCTATGCTCTGCTTATCAATTTTTAAAAAATTTATTTATTTATTTGAAAGTCAGAGTTACACACAGAGAGAAGGAGAGGCAGCGAGAGAGAGAGGTCTTCCATCCGTTGGTTCACTCCGCAATTGGCTGCAATGGCTGGAGCTGGGCCGATCCGAAGCCAGGAGCCAGGAGCTTCTTCCAGGTCTCCCACGAGGGTGGAGGGGCCCAAGGACTTGGGCCATCTTCTACTGCTTTCCTAGGCCATAGCAGAGAGCTGGAATGGAAGTGGAGCAGCCGGGACTCAAACTGGTGCCCATATGGGACGCCAGCACTGCAGGCGGCCTCTTTACCCGTTATGCCACAGTGCTGGCCCCTCTACTTATCAATTGTGTCTATATAAAAAATGGTAGGCAAACTGCTATTGTTTTTATTAAATGCCAAAAATAGTACTTGCTCTTTGCCCAAACATCAACACATTAGAAAAACAAAAGAATCTGATTTACTATGCTCACTCAAACTCTTCCTTTCAAAAACATCTTATTGGGTTGATTGGAGAACAATCAGAGATTACATTGCTATTTTTGAATTTTATTGTGGTTTTGGTTAAAATTTGATGCAAGGCCTTACAAGGATGCAATGATGCTCTTTAAATATATGACATGTAGGCTAGCACAAAAAAAAGTTTCTGAGTAGAAAAGAGGTATCATTTTAGATTAGAGTTATTAGGGGAGAAGGAGAATCATCTTTTCAATAATGATAAGGATAACTCAATTATATGCTGTGTTCTCATGCAGCCCAAATAGAGCCATTGCTTCAGAAAGGCCTTTGTTTGCTATCATAGGATTGGGCCACATGTGAACAACCATTCTAGAGTCAGCAGCTTTAGTAATGCAAGAGTTTAGCCTTGGGAGGCTTCTGCTTTTTCTTAAATTGTTCCTAATTTTAATGGGTTTATGGTATAAAATGCCTTAGTGAATGATTTCTGTGTAAAATGATACCATTAAAAAAAACCCAGATCCTTTCATCATTGAGATTCCATTTTCTCTTTTGAAATCAGTTTAGCAGCTGCTCCTTTGAGCGCAGACTTTGCAATCAACTTCCATTTTTTCACACCAAGTAACAGCAGGAAAGGAGAACTGTGGCTGACCAATGACTGAAATACTTATATTGGGCTTTGCAAGGTCATCAGGGGCCTACATGTTGTGCTCAGCTCCTTGGATGTCCGCCATTTTTCTGTGTCTGCCTCTTTTCCTTGCTGTCCTCCTTCTGACCTCGTACTTTTTGTCATGGCTGAGAAATGGATGGTGTTCATGTGGGGCTTCCTCCATTATTATTATTTTTTTGACAGGCAGAGTTAGACAGTGAGAGAGAGAGACAGAGAGAAAGGTCTTCCTTTTCTGTTGGTTCACCCCCCAAATGGCCGCTACGGCTGGCACACTGTGCCGATCTGAAGCCAGGAACCAGGCGCCTCCTCCTGGTCTCCCAGGCAGGTGCAGGGCCCAAGCACTTGGGCCATCCTCTGCTGCCTTCCTAGGCCACAGCAGAGAGCTGGCCTGGAAGAGGAGCAACCGGGACAGAATCTGGCGCCCCAACTGGGACTAGAACCTGGGGTGCCGGTGCCACAGGTAGAGGATTAGCCTAGTGAGTCACGGAGCTGGCCTGGCTTCCTCCATCATTAGGCACACTGGTCACTGACTGCCACAAACTGACCCACAGAATGTATTGCTGGATGGAGCTTCAAAAGATCAATTAGTTAACCCCCTTGTGTTCTGGCAAGTGTAGATGTCTCCAGTTAACAAGCACAGCCCTTGAGAACTATCCTTGGGAACCAATCTCAAATTAATTGAAATGAGGGCTCCTACGTGACCTTTCTCTTATCAATTTTAGGTTAATTTACCAGGCATACACTCTATACTCAGCCTGAGGAAGAGTGGATAGCATTCTACCTGTTCAGCTCTAATATTTGCCTGTCATAGTAGGATTTTACCCTCTG